GTGTGTGTGTGTGTGTGTGTGTGTGTGTGTGTGTGTGTGTGTGTGTGTGTGTGTGTGTGTGTGTGTGTGTGTGTGTGTGTGTGTGTGTGTGTGTGTGTGTGTGTGTGTGTGTGTGTGTGTGTGTGTGTGTGTGTGTGTGTGTGTGTGTGTGTGTGTGTGTGTGTGTGTGTGTGTGTGTGTGTGTGTGTGTGTGTGTGTGTGTGTGTGTGTGTGTGTGTGTGTGTGTGTGTGTGTGTGTGTGTGTGTGTCTGTCTGTCTGTCTGTCTGTCTGTGTCTGTGTCTGTCTGTGAATCAGTCTGTGTCTGTGTCTGTGTGTGTGTGTGGTTTCCAGGACTTTTGGTTTTTTGGGGCTGTGTTTTGTGCCTACCTCCAAGAAACAAAATACGCCGCCGATTCCACAATGCTGCACGCGTGGGCAATGCCGGGCAGGATGTCGGGCCCACCCGCGCACGTCCTTGTCGGAACGTGACCAAGCGCACGCCACAAGGACGGTCGAAACCGCGAGCACACCACCCAGCCAACCAATGTCGGGCAGCAGCGAGATGGAGAACACCGACATGAACAACATGAACACAGACGCGAAGATCAAGACGGATGCTCTCGGCGTCCTGCCCGAGCCGCTCAACGGCGGGACTACGGCCAACCGGCAGCTCATGGCGCACATTGGCCCGATCCGCGCAGCGATTGCCTCGAAGCTCGGAGTGAAGCTGGACCACATGCGCATCTCCAACAAGATGTGGAACGTGCTGAAAGAGCTCGAGGCAGAAGACCGCATCAATGCGGTCAAAAAAATGGAGAAGGAGAAGGACATCCACCGCGAGATTTCCAGGGGCAAATTCGTGGTGAGCAACAGCCCCCCAAATAACAGCCCCTATTCTCCCACCCTCCTGCGCCATGCGCCAAACACTTCGCGATTTACCGCTGAGAGCCGTCTTGACGATGCAGGTCTTCATGTCCACGGGGGCAAGGGCCGCTGGCATGTTCGCCGCCAAAACGCTCGAGGAGACGCTCGAGGACCGCGCTGCACGCATCGAGATCCCAGAGGAGGTGCTCGCCAAAATCGACGCCTGCTGGCAGCTGGAGGAGCAGTACAAGACTGCGTGTACGCAGCTGCACGAGGACAGTGACGCGGTGACGCTTGTTGCGGACGAGGACGGGGAAGACAAGTCTGTGACGGCCCCGGCCTTCACGGCCCTCTTGGAGCGCGCCAAGATGAAAAAGCAGCAGGACCAGGAGGAGAAGGCCGCAATGCAAGACGCGGACAAGATCAAGATCGAGCAGTTGCTCAAGTCGGAGGAGGCCGAGCTGAGCCTTCTCGAGGACAAGCTGGACGAGCAGCGGCGTCGGAAGACGAGCATCGATGCGGAGCTGGCCAAGGAGAAGGACCAGCGCGACACGCTTGAGAAGGAGGCTGTCGCGCTCGCTCGTGTCGTTTTGAAGAGCGAGGGGCAGGAGGCGCGCGACAAGGATCTTCGGAAGCTGCGGGTCAAAAACCTGGAGGCGATCAATGAGAAGGAGGAGGAGGCCACAAAGCTCGAGGACTCCATCGAGCAGTACAAGAAGGAGAAGGCCAAGCGCGAGGTGAAGATCGCAAAGTATCGCAGCAAGATCGGTCAGAAGCGCCCTGCGGCGAGCTCGGAACGGGGGGGGAAGAAGCAGAAGATGTGATCCCCTCGATCGTATGTTGGATTCATCACATGCCCTGACATCCCGTGTTTACGTCTTTCCGGGGGGCGTCCGGCATCGCTCTCCTCCGCCCTCTCTTCCATACCCACCTCTCTCCCACTTCTCCATTCCATTACTGTTTTTGTTTATATTTTATGGGTTCGGGTTTTTGTCTTTGTTTTATGCTGCTCGGGTCTAGCTCTAGAGGTCTCGATGTAAATACGGCTAGCCCGCGTATAATAGCCTATAGCTCTTCAGACACACACGCCGCGCAGGCGCAGCTAGAGAACAACTGAGAATCTGGTTCTGGACTCCTCTTTATTCGTGTACCGCATACGGCACGGAGAGAACAAGGACAACAATAGTCAATTCATACACCGCCCGCCTCCAAAAGCGCACAGAAGCCACATCTCAAGAGCAAAACACGAAAGCAGTGGAGGGGGGCGTGGAGTCGAGCGGAGCGAGACAGCAGATACGCGCTCACACCCTTGCCGGGCGGCGCAGACACCAATACACGCCGGCGGGCGGGCTCAAGCCTCCCTTGGAGGGTTGGGATGAATTTCGCCAAATCAGATTTCTTTTTTTCGGTGCGAAATGGGTGCCTACCCTCGCCGCACAAACCTTCGGTGGTTCCACGACGACTAGGTCTCCACGATACCGCCTACGGATGTTCGCCCTTTTCGTCGCCGTCGCGCTGTCCTTTCACGCTGCGCGCCGGCCAGCGGCGCTGATCGGCGGCAAGCGTGCTAATTCTGCGTTGATGGCTGCTGCCGAGGAAGCGCTCGAGCATGCCGCCATAGCAACCGCTGATGCTACTGGAGTGGTTGTGCCCACCGCCATAGTGAGTGCTCCGCGCACGCTGACGCCGGAGCAAGAGATTGACGAGCTCTACGAGACGTTAGAGCTTTACGATGGCCGCCTCTTGGACCTGGAGGGGCGCCAGTCGTTCGTCGAGTCAGAGGCGGAGAGGGCCGTCCAGAAGGTGGGAGCGTTCTGGATCGCCAGGCTCGCGCAGGCGGACGCTAGGGAGGCGGAGGCAGACGCCAAGGTGGCGGCAGCCGAAGCGCGTGCGGCAGAGGCGGAGGCAAGGGCGGCGAAGGCGGAGGAGCGGGCGCAAGCGGCCGAGGAGGCAAGTCGCGGGAGGCTTGCCGACACGGCATCGGACAGTAGATGCTGGAGTTCGTATTTGTGTCGCTTGGAGGACCCTCCGACGGGCCCACCCCTCCCTCTTCCGCACGCAGGCATCGGACCTTCGCGCCGTCCTCGATCGACTAGGCGAGGGCTCTGCAGCCGGGAAGGCGGATGCAGCACCGGAGAGAAAGGCCAAGGCGGTTGTGGACGTGGTCAAGGAGAAGGCGGAGGAGGAGAAGCCGGCGAAGGAGGCGGTGGAGGAGGCGGCGGTCAAGGACGCTGGCGCAGCGGTGGCAGTGGGAGCAGCGACGGAGGCGCCCAAGACGACGGCTGAGGTGGCGACGGAGACCAAGACGGCTGCGACCGACGAGAAAGGCGGCGGCGACAAGGCGGCAGCGGGGGGCGAGGAGCTGCGGGGCGGCGAGGAAGCGGCGGCGGGTCTGGCTTCGGCTGGTCCTGCCGCCTCCGCCTCGCTTCCCTCGATGCAGGAGAGGTACGCCTCGGCCGAGGCAGCGGGCGAGTACGTCCACGTCGCGCAGTACGAGGTGCGCGCGGGAGACTGCGGAGGAGTGGGGGTGTATCTCCCGCCAATCTCCCGCTAGCTCCGCCTCGATCACACCTCCCGCCAATGATAGCCATGCGGCCCTATTCTAGCCACCGTTTGGCTCGCGGCGCGGCAGGAGTACGACGGCGTCGAGTACGGCCTCCGCTCGGCGATGTCGCAGCTGCCGGACGAGCCGCCTCGCTCGTCGCCCCTCCACCCGGACGGTCCACGGATGAGCCTCGGTCAGCGCGCGTTATTCGCCCGCACCGCCGCCCGATTGCGCCAACAGTTACCACCCCTCCAAACTGTGCGGAGACGCCCAACCTCCTCCCTCCGTCACTAGGGGAGCTGCGCACCAAGTTGACGGGACTCTCCCTGCCGACCACCGGTCTGCGCGCAGAGCTCGAGGCGCGCTACGACTATGCGATGCGGCTTGAGCGCGCAAAGACGCAACAGTGGGACCCTGCGGCCCAAGCTTGGGTACAGATGCCGATACCGATGCAGTGAAGCTGCGCCCTTTGTTGGGCCTCCTAGTACCTCGATGCATTCGGGCGAGGCGCGGCTGTCAACGCCGCGCGCTGCCATCGGGCTCGGCGGGCGGCACCGACCTGCTGCGGCGATCAGGCCCTCAGTCTCACAGTGGGGGAGGACAGGGCACAGCACACAGGGCTCTCAGGCGTCAGGGGATGTCAGGGCCCTCCGACCGGTTGTGGGGTGGCGGCGATGCTGGAGGCTCTGGGCGTGTTGCAGCCCGCGAAGGCGGTGCTTCGATCCTTTGACTTTTCTTATACACGCGACTACGATCTACGCGTGCTAGACACCGTAGTAGCAATGCCCGTTAACATAATATCATAATACATAAAGGCCACGCCCCACGCGCAGTCGCAGACGCCAGCCAGACACCCAGTCGCACCGCGCTCCGCATCCGAGCCGGTCACCGCCGGTCAGCGTTTCCCAGCTGATTCCATGCGTGCTAGCGCCTGGAAGATGCGAAAGAGTTTGCGCGACTGACAAGGATCCCTTAAGACGTTGAGTCCCACTTTACATGCCTCTGCGCCGAGCAGCATGAGTGGCTCCATCTGCCGAGTCGCAGCTGCCGCTTGCCCAAGGCTTTGCCCGCACGCGCAGCTGATGCTGATCAGGGCGCCAGCATGAATCGTTCCGACTGTGCCGACAAGCCAACATAGGTTGCGCATGTGATCGTTCAGGCAATCGTTCAGGTTGCGCATGTGCTCGTTCAGGGCGGGATTGTCTACGAAGAGAGGCGGAATCGGACTGTGTACGTCCGGCACGATTGTTGGCTCATCTGAGGGCGCACTCGGCAACATGCTGATGGTGGGTCTCGCCATCCTCATGAGAAGGAGCCAGGTGCGCGCCGTCGCTTGAATCCGGACTGCTGCCTTTCGAATGGCGCGGGCCCGTCGTCTCGCGGCGACCTGTAGGCGCCTCGCAGCTATGCGCCTCGCAGCTATGCGCCTCGAAGGATCGGTGGGAGGCTCGCGTGTCATCTCGGCCAGCGCCTCGACTCGCATGTCTAAAACGCGCTCACGCCTCTCTTCGTGGCGGACTCGCACGTGGCGCCATTGCGCGATCTCAGCCACAAACCGTGTGAGCTTGGCCAGCGCCCGAAGTGCCATCCCATTCATCGCCGTGTCAGTCAGACAGTCAGGCGTCAAAGCGACAACGTACGTCCTGGAACGACAGTCACTCCAGGGTTCCAACCAGGACTGGCTGTGGAAGGGGTATCCTGTTGTCATCTTGGTTCGTGTTCAGCAGGGTGGGGCCAGGGGGGGCATGTGACAACAACAACAAAGCTCCCTCTCAGACGTGAAATTTTTCACGCAGCCCACCACCACCCCGCACAGGGATTTACATCCCGGCCGGCCGGCTCACAACTTCACGCCCCGGTTTCACGCGCCACCTCCGGGTCACCCCAACACACCACCGAAGCTGCTCGAGTAGTACTTTCCCTGCTTGGGCTTCAATATCCGTCCAACCGACAAACATGCTGTTGGGCGTCCTTCTCGCGACAACGCCGGCCGTCACGCCTCCCGCCGCGGACCTCTCCCGCCGCGGGGCCCTCACCGCCGCCGCGGCTCTGCTCGCCGGCCAGCCGAGGCGCTCCGGGGCCGCGCCCGACGCGGCCCGCCCCGACGCCGCTTCCGGCGACACCTCTCCCTTCTGGGTGGCCAAGAACCGCATCGAGGCGGGCGACGACTACCAGGGGACAATGCCGTACGACCCTTGGGCCCACTCCTCGGCCTTCGGCCTCGTGCCGCCTCCGATTGCCGGGCAGTTCAAGCGCGACCAGTTCTTTGCCGCCGCTCGCGCGGGCAAGGTGAAGTCTGTGCAGATCGCGCCGCAGCACGACTGCGTCATCGTCGTGACCGCCAGCGGGCGGCGGTACTCCCTCATGGTGCCCGACTCCGAGTTCCCCGCCCTCCTCCTCGACGCCGCGGCCGCGGACGGCTCCTTCCCCTTCGAGGTGGCCGCGGTCTTCTGTACCCCCCTCCTTGCCCTCGCGCCTGCACTTGCGCTGCCCGCCCGCCTCACGTAGGTGCTCCCGCTCGATGAGACGCGCGCCAAGGTGCGCGACGCCGCGGGCAAGGCCCTCGACCTCTCCCTCGTCCTCTGGCTCGCCGACCTCGCCGGCCTCTTGCCGTGGGACACGACACCGTACGGTCTGTGGCAGTGCTGAGACACACACACACACACGCACACACGCACACACACATCGCACACACAAATCGCACACACAACGCACACACACACACATCGCGCACACACACATCGCACACACACACACACACACATACACACACACACACACACACACACACACACACACACACACACACACATTGCGAGACCGCGGGCGCGGCTGCTTGCCAGGGTGGTGCAGACAACAGCCCGCTCGTGCGCGCAGGCTCAATGGCTGAGCGGGAGGAAGCGCAACGGCGGCGGCAGGCTGGCGACACGGCGCCACGCAAGCCCATGTCGGACGAGCTGTCGCGCGCCTTTGGGATTGCGACCAGCGAGGCGAGCGAGATCCGCACCCGCCTCAAGGCGACGGCGCAACGCATCAAGCAGGACTACGAGCCCGCTTGGGTGACCCCGCTCACGGTCGAGGGTGCGCCGCCACCCCTCGCTCGGCGCACCTCCCCTCGCCCTAACCACCCCCCCCCCACCCCAATCCCCCCCCCCCCCCCACACCCCCAGGTGAGCTGCCCAGCCTCGAGGACCTCTTCCCGCAGCCGATGCAGATCTGGTCCGAGGTGGCCTCGGACGGCACCACTTGGGCGCAGTACATCCGCGCGCACCCCACGGGCGAGGCGGTGCGCCGCGCACGTCGCCGTTTCGGCGTGATTGGCTACAATCTGCCGGCGCCATCGGCGGTGACGACTTCACAGCGCCGCCGCGAGCCTCCCACCGGCCGGTTCGCTAATCGGTACGCGCTCCGACGATAGGAGACGACGCCGTGCCGCGGCGAGGGTGTCAAGGGCATCTTCGCAAGCGCGAGCGCGAGACTTGCATCCTTCGCAAGTTGTGGCATGGTGCGCGGGAATAGATGGTTGAAGGTGCCCGGCAGGCGGTGTCTGGTCACCCGGCCCGGCCCTCGGCAGGTATTCGACGACGACACCCAGGAGAAAGGCTCATGGCGCCTTTGCCCGCACTTCTCAGAGTTCTACGGCCACGACGTGTACATCCTCAAGATGCAAATCGCGTAAATTGGGGAGAGGGGGTCGATCGGATCGCCTGATCGCCTGTCCTCGTCCAAGTCCACGATCAGCGTTCGCTCACGAGCCCCTCCGGGCGCGCGGTCGCGCTGGCCGAGGATCATGAAATGTCTGCATGTGAGCGGGTGGAGGTGTGCCTCCCCGCTGGCCGGCTGAGTGTGTTCGCCGAGCCGCCATCCCTTTCTTGTCGCCCCGCTTGCCGCTTTCGTCGCCCCGCTTGCCGCTTTCCACGCTTGCCCCCCCCCGAGACCGCAGCCTCACGCGTGATGTGTGTTTGGCCGCCTCTTTCCCTGTACCCTTTCGTCTAAACTGTGCTCTACCGACCAACACCAAGCACTCGGCCGCTCACCAAGCCAGCGCGCGTACCGAACCGGCTGTGGAACTCGCTGGGATCATGTGGGGGTGAACCTTCTTTTGTACACCGCTAGGATTGAGAGCAGCCTCGCTCTCAATCCTAGAATTTATGATTTCTCAGTGGGGTTTTGACAAAGTGCTCCACGCCGCTTGCGGCGGAAAAGCAACTAAAGAAAACAGACCAACCCAAGGGAGGGATGGGAGGACGAGCACCATAACACACCAGTGTATCAAACATTTTCCGTCCCATCAGTGTCTTGAGCGTCGTCATCCTGTTGCCTACGTCGCTGCTCCGTAGCTTTCCTACTTATCGCCTCGTGCTCCCTCCGCCCAATCGTCGCACCGCTCGTCGCATGGTCCTCGAGCGCCTGCTCAAACGTGCTCCGGAAGCTCCACTCAAACGCAGCCAGCATCTGCGGCACCACCACCTTGTCCGCCTTGCCCGTGAAGCGCGCCTTCTCGATCGCGCGGCACGCCTCGTCCAGCACCTCCTTTGGCGGCAGGGAGCACTCGCGCGCCACCGGCGCCTCCCCTCCGATGTCATACACCTTGGCGCGGCTCGCTTGCGCGCGGCGGAAGCGCTCTGGCAGCGCCTTGCCCTCCTCCCCCGCCTGCCTCTCCGCCGCCGTCAGGTGCGCCAGCACCGTCATCGCGGTCCCCTGCTCGAAGATGCACCACCCTCGCCCTCCCTCGCCCTCGTACGGCGTTGGGTTGTACTCTCCCGGTCCGAACCCGGTGGTCGCGCCTGGCGGGAGGTCGATGCTGCGCTGCTGGATGACGGAGGTGCCCGTGACGCTGGCGTAGAAGTTCCCCATCACTTTGAGGCCTCGCCCGAACATGGCCTTCTCCTCCTCGGTCTTCTCCTCCCCGTTTGGGCCCTTTTGCGGAAGGCTGCAAAAGTCCCAGAAGAGCCCGGTGTCGCTGGCCGCCGGGTCGGCATCGAGGAAGCGGCGGACGGCGGCAAGGGTAGTGCCGCGAGGGTCCGGGTGAAGCGCTGTCAGCCAGCCGTACGAGAGCGCTAGTATAGACCGGTCGCCTCGCTCGAGCATCGCCACCGCCTCATCGCAAGGCACAAACGCTTCTGCCGGCATGTCCTGCTGCCTCTTCATGATGACGGCGCCAGGGGCGTCGCGGCCGAGGAAAGCGTCGGAGGCGGGCGACGCCAGCCAGCTGCTGCGAAGCAACCGCACCGAGCCGTCGCGCAGCCGATCCGCGAGCGAGCCGTCGATCTTGGAGTCGGCGGCGCTGAGGATGGCGGAGAGGTCGACGTCAGCGAGCACGCGGCGCATCCGCCGCAGCTCCCGGATCGAGTAGACGGCGCCGACGATGAGGCTGCCGAGAAGCACGATGGCCATGAGCGCCTCGACGCTCACTCGCGCAGCGGCAGGGTCGGCGGGGAGCGCGGTGTAAACCATGGCGAGGGCGAGGAAGAGAGCGGTAGCCCCGTAAAGGCACGACTCGAGCGCATTCTGGAAGCGGAAGGCGAAGGGTATGGCGCGGCGGTGGAGGCGCCAAAAGACGAGCGTGACGGCGATCGCGAGGGCGGCGATGGCGTAGCGGCCGGCGTTGAAGGTATTCTCTGTGGTCGCATCAAAGAGCATGTTGCTGGTGAAGGCGATGAGTAGGAGAAGGAGCTGCCGAAGCCAGATGACGATCTGCCAGCGGGGAGCGTGGCGAGCGAAGCGGCCGACGAGGTAGGCGACTTGCCGCTCGAGCCGGCGGGGAGGGATGGGGCGTGAGCCGCAGCAGGCAGAGCCTCCGCACGAGTTCGGGCGCCGCCACACTCCACTCTTGACTCCGCGCTTGAAGGCGCGGACGCTGCCCGAGAAGCGGAGCAAGAGGACCAGCAGCAGCGCACCCAGTACCGACGGCAGGGCCAACCCAGCACCGATCTCGGCAGGGCCAACCGCGTACGCCACGAGCTCTAGCACGAGACTCCATGCAAAGGTGAAGAGCAGCGAGTAGATCAGGCTCAGTACGAGCTCCGCCGTGTCGGCGATGGCGAGCCGGCGGCGGTAGAGGGAGAAGTACTTGACGAGCAGGGGCGCGAGCAGCAAAACGAGCATGGCAGAGGAGGCGTAGACTGTGTACGACTCAAACGCCGAATCATCCTCTCCCCCAACAAGGCAGCTGGCGCTGGGCAGCATGAGCAGGTCGAGCTTGAGCGCGGAGGCGATTGCGATGAGGGAGCGGGGCCACTCGAGACGCATGCTTGCGATGATGCTGGCCGTCTGGGCGTGATTGAAGAGGATGGCGGCGGTTGAGACCCACCGCTTGAGGGCCCAGGGGTTGCGGACGACGAGGCGGACGAAGGCGGCGAGGGCGATGATGCCGACGAGGATGCAGACGCCGACGACAATGAGGCTTGCAGTCTGGTTGTCGCAGACCACGCACTCGTTGGGGTCGGTGACGGATAGCAGCGCGTCCGCAAACGCGCTACAACCCGTGGGAGGGATACCGAAACATTGGACACTTCCTGCGCCGCGGCAGATGCGGGTGGCAAGATCGTACTCGACGCGGGCTTCGCTGCTGCGCGGGTACTCGAGTTGGTTGTCGCGCAGGTCGAGTAGCTGCAGCGAGTCGAGGTCGGCCAGCTCCGCTGGGATTGAGCCCGTGAGGCCGCGATTCGAGAGGTCGAGAGCAGTGCCGGTGTATGTGCCGTCGCACACTGTGGGCGCGTTGCCGCAGATGTCTCGCGTTGGCGGCGGAGAGGGCGGCGGCGAGGGCGGCGGTGGCGGCGGTGGCGGCGGCAGCGGCGGCGGCGAGGGCGGCGGCGGCGGCGGCGGTGACGGCGGTGGTGGATATGGCGCTAGTTCCGGCGGGTAAGGCGGCCGCGAGGGCGGTGGCGGAGGAGGACACGTGGCTATTTCTGAGCCGTAAGGATCATAGCAGTTCGCATCCACACAGTCCACGTCTACGTCTGTTCTCCGAATGTTCCCGCTGGCGACGGCTGTTGGGCAGGCCTCCTCAGAGGAAGCGTAGAACAGGAGCGTAGAAGGAACCACGTAAGCTCGAAGCTGCCACTGACCGCCGATGTAGGCGAGGTAGTGCTGATTTGTGTCACTCTGCACATAGACCAGCCGGCCGCCGTCAGGCAGCTGATCGCCGTCAGCAAGATCAAAAACCTCGCCCCCGAGCGTATACTGGTTGCCCGGAGGGTAAATGCCCGTCGCTCCAGCATTCCACAGGGTTTCCCCGCCTCCGCTGACGGCCACGTCGGCGCACGGGCAGGAGGAGGAGGCGCCAGCAGTCATGCGAGCGCCGAGGACGACGCTCGACCGCGCCGGGGCGGCTCACGCAACCTTCCCTTTTGGCGGCCCTTTCTGGCGGCTCACGCAACCTTCCCTTCTTTTTTACTTCAGCTGTTCATGATAGACTTTTTAAATTCTTAGAATTCAGATTAATGAGAGGCAGCAACGCGTTATTCGGATCGCACATTGGACGGCGGAGTACAGGCTGTGTGGTCGGCGACTCGTAGCCGGGGTCGTCCTCCCGAGATGGGCATGGACGGCCATGGGGAACCAGCCAGAGGGCACTCCCAATCGCTCCAGCCGCGAGCGCTTGTGAGTGAGCGCGCCGGGAGGGTCTCCTCACAATCCAAACAGTGATCGCACCGATTGCGAGGGCACCCGCTCGCAATCCTAGAAGTCGTAGGACTGTGGGCGGTGTCGCTCGCAATCGGCGAAAGTTCTAGGATTGCGAGCGCTACTGCTCGCAATCGGAGGCATGATGCTCGGATTGTGAGCAGTGCTGCTCGCAATCCTAGACTTTGCTCGGATTGCGAGCGCGCTGGTAGTAGTCGTACGGGGGAAGGCGCTGGTAGTAGTCGTTGACGGAAATCGGAGGACGCGACCCACCTAGCCACAGACGGTCCCGCGCCTCGCCGCTATGACATCCTAGTCCTACAAGATGTAGGATTGCGAGCGCTACTGCTCGCAATCGGGGGCATGTTGCTCGGATTGTGAGCAGTGCTGCTCGCAATCCTAGACTTTGCTCGGATTGCGAGCGCGCTGGTAGTAGTCGTAGCACGTAGCTCGTAGGCGTCACCAGTCACCTTGGGCGGTTACTGGACCGTGTTCAACGACGTTGAACATTGTTCAACGTCGTTGAACACTACTTAGGAATGGCCGTAGCTCCTCTCCACGAGCGATTCAGAAGACGTAGAGAGGCTTGTGAGGCGTGAATCCGTTAGGATTCTCGCCCGCTCTGCTGAGGGGAGGGGACGGTCGACTGGGCCGGTCGCTCGACCCGATTCTACTCTACTATCAGTCTTACCATTCATGGACAATAGTGTCTGTGACGGCGGTGACACGAGGTCTTCGATGGGGCAACAGTGGTCGATTGACGACGCGGGTTGAGGAATGCTTTTCGACGTCGAAGCAGCAGTCCGTATAGACCGAGGATTATCAACTCGTTCAGTTACAATTTGGGTCACGACGAAGCAGCAATCAGGTCGGCAGCTGCTATCGTTTAAGTCGACAGGGGCAACGGTGCTTGACACTGTCGATGAGTGCAACTGTGGCGTGCTTGCCACCCAAGCGAGTGTAGGCCCGACTCGCGTCGGGTGCTATTTCCTCATCGTCATCGCTACGGCGGGGGCGGGGGGGTTTTACCGGAGCACCGGACTACTCGCTGGGATAGTTGCGAGATCCGTCGATAATCACGATCGGTCTCTCGGGCGCATCGTCGTGCGACGTCAGCGACCCATCCGCCAGTTGCCCTTATCTTTGACTGTGATTCAAGGAGGTCTATGCGTGGGGTTCAGCTGAGCTTAGGCCGTTCCGGGCGTCGACCTTCCAACATACCACATCAAAGGCCGAGCGTGGGGAGGCTCAGCAGCCCACCACCAGGGAGGTTTCGTCAGTCTCGGCGTCGCATCTGCCGCGCCGAGATTCGACGGACCGAAGGGGTAGAGGCTAGCGCTCTCGGTCGAGAGACGCGCAATACTCAAGACAATAACTATTACCACCTTCGTGCATTTGAGTTCAACTCAACGTGCATTCATGCAACGCGTGCAACGCTGCACAGTGCTCAGGGTTCGAGCAGGTGCAGGCGAGTGGAGGGGCCCCTGGCAGAGGAGGCGTGAATCCGTTAGGATTCTCGCCCGCTCTGCTGAGGGGAGGGGACGGTCGACTGGGCCGGTCGCTCGACCCGATTCTACTCTACTATCAGTCTTACCATTCATGGACAATAGTGTCTGTGACGGCGGTGACATTCACAGCGAGGTCAGTTCACAGCCGAGGCGCCGATCCTGACACGCTCCACTTTCGGCTCGCCGCGGCTCGAGCAAGGTCTATGTCGATCCGCATCTTGCCAGCTGTGGCTCGCCCGTCTACCGCTACCGCGCCTACCAGATACAGTCGCCCCTCCCGCCCACGCCGGCGACTCTCTTAGGTGCAGATGACATCTGGATGACTGCGCATAATGGGGTTGACCCGCCGCGCAGCAACCCGATGTTCATTACTTGGTTTCCGTCGAGTGACGAGTCTCGTCCGAGACATCTAGTCTCATCCCGCCTCGTGGCATGTGTTGTCTAGTGTGTCACGGTGTCCCTGTGGTGTTCTTGTGTGTGGGGGAGGCTCAGCAGCCCACCACCAGGGAGGTTTCGTCAGTCTCGGCGTCGCATCTGCCGCGCCGAGATTCGACGGACCGAAGGGGTAGAGGCTAGCGCTCTCGGTCGAGAGACGCGCAATACTCAAGACAATAACTATTACCACCTTCGTGCATTTGAGTTCAACTCAACGTGCATTCATGCAACGCGTGCAACGCTGCACAGTGCTCAGGGTTCGAGCAGGTGCAGGCGAGTGGAGGGGCCCCTGGCAGAGGTCCCGCCGTTGCAACTGCCATGTCACGGCCGGTCGGCTGCAGCTCTCGCCTCGCTGGCGGCGCGGTCTGGTGCCGCGGCGCCCAGCTCTCCTGTGGGCTCGCGGCGGCTCGCCGCCGCGGTGCCGAACAATGTGATCAGTCTGGATTCGTCCCGGCGTGCCGCCGGTGCCGCTTCCTCGCCAATTTTTGGCTCGACCAGTTTGTCGACAAAACTGTGCCAGAGCCCCTGCTGCTCGACTGAGCGGCGGAGCCGGCCCGTCGCGGCCGAGAGGCGGTGCGCCGACACCGGGGCTACGGCTCGGGACCGTTTCCAGGCTCTCTCGAGCAACCTCAAATTTTGATGATTTCATGACCTCGCCACTTTGCGGCTCTTTGACATCCACCTCGCGGCCCGCTGCGCGGCTCTCCGAGCGCGAGAGGAGTCGTCTACGAGGCGGCGGCGAGCGCAGGCGGCGGCGGCGCGGCGGCGCGGCGGCGGATCGCGGCGCAGACAACGGCAGGAATCTGCGGCAGGCTGCTGCCTGCTGCTACAGCAGCAGCAGCTGCTGCTGCTGCTCCGCCGCTGCCGATTGTGGACACGATTCCCCCGATCACCCCGCCCGCCCGCTCCGCCCCGCCCGCCCGCCTCTCCCCGCTTGCCCGCCCGCCCGCCCGCCCGCCCGCCCGCCCGCCCCGCCCGCCCGCCCGACCACCCATTCCCATCACCATCTCACATACCTTCATATAGGCGCTCGAGACCTCCTCTCGCGGCCTACTCGCTGCCTCGAGGGAGGAGGGGAAGACGTAGGGTTGAGCTGGACTCGCCTTTCCTGAGGCCCCTCCCCGAAAGGGCAAGTATTAGACCCATGAAATCCGAGACCCCTCCCCACCACCCCAATCCCCCCACCCCCTTGCTCCCCTCCCCCCCTCGGGAGGGCCGAACTGAGGCGCCCGAGGGGACCCCGCAATTCCCTTCCCCCCTCGGAGGGCCGGACTGAGGCGTCGAGGGCCCCACTCTTTCCTTCGCATAGCGGCCACTCTTCGGATCGCTGGTCGAGCGACCCGGGGGATGCCCCGCGCGCCTGACCCAGGCGCGGAAACGAATCTGCGAGGCGTGGCCGCTCATGCGGCCCGATGGGGAGGAGGGGAAGACGTAGGGCGTGCTTGCGCGCCTTTCCGAGGCCCCTCCAACCCACCCGCGCTAGGTCTCGGGGGACGAAGGGGTCACACCCGACGACCTCGGGAACTAGCCGGGGCAGTCGGAGAAGGGGCAACTCCGTGCACTGACGGTCGGCCGTCAGAAAACACGCCTCCGTGGCTCGGGTTACACCAATCCTCGCTACCCAACGCGGCCAAAGGATATCCACCTCGAGAACCTCGAGAAGACGTACCACGTGTCGATTCTGTATAGAATTGCGAGGCGCACACGCTGGTGCAGGCGGCGAGTCGTCGATCCGACTCGTTCCGACGTGAAGTCGCCGTGAAGGATTGCAAACAGGGCATTTTGCCCAAGATTTGCCCTCACGCGCGATCTTCTCGCGTCGGCAAGCGCGCCGGCCAGGATGGGCGAGCCGGTCCCGCCACGCTGGACGGGCCAGCGGCTGGCACGCGCCGGCCACCCCGGCGGCGCGGCGGCCTCATCGCGCTCGTCGTCTGCGAGGCCACCGCTCGGCGTCGCCGCGTCCGACGGCGATGGCGCTTGGCTGTGAGGTGGGATGGCGGCATGGTGCGCGCGGACGTGGGGGTGGTGCGGGATGCACGTGCCAGCAAGCATAGTTTCACCTCCCCAACCCCGCAGGCGCGCCGACGTGCTGCCCGAGCGCGTTTGGAGGCAGCAGCAGCTCCTCGCGAGGCGCCTTCGGAGGGGTGCCACACCCCTTTCCCAGCCGCGCGCGAGTTGAGCTCCGATTTGCGCTCTTTTTCGCACACGCCCGACGCTAGTAGGTGAGGATCGACCATCCTCCGCAAGCAGGGCTTCGTCGGGCGCGTCTTCGTCGAGCGGTGGTGCATCTCCCATGCTCCCACCCGCGCCCTCCTGGCAGCCCGCCCGCGGCCCACACCGACGCCCTCACGTGCTCACCCTAGTCGTAGGTGCGGGTTTTTTGCGTGCCCTCCGTCGATACGGGGCGCTGGGCGATGGCTGGGCTTGTCGCCGGGCGAGCTGGCCCCTCAGTCGGCCGCGGAGCGGAGATGCGAAATCGAGGCGGCGCGGCCCCTGCGCGCAGCCTATCCGGCCGGCGCGCGCATGGTTCCGTAGCCCGTGTAGTGCCTCACTGACCAACTCCAGCGCTACGGTGCACGTGGCCGGTGTGGTACTGGGGCTGGGCAGCCTTGGGGCCGGCGGAGACCGCCGTCTAGCGGTCGCACTAGTCGGATATCGTTGTTCAACCTGTTTGTTCAACGGTTGTTCAACCATGTTTTGAGCCTTAATTATTAATTTGGGTTTGGGTCTCTGAGGTCGATACTAGCGTCTATAACTTGCCACACGCATGCTTTACAAAAGTCCAGCGGAGCTGGACTCGCAGAACGGCCGTCCGCGCGCGCTGTGAACAGCGCCGTGGTTGAATTCTGTTCAACGACGTTGAACACGTGACGGTCCAGTAACCGTGGGAGCGGAGCTGCTCTTAGTCCTAGAAGATGTAGGATTGCGAGCGTAGGTGCTAGCAATCGTACAGAGATGCTACGATTGCGAGGAGTGCTGCTCACAATCCTTCGACTTCTAGGATTGAGAGTGATGAGAGGCTGCTCTCAATCCTAGCGGTGTAAGGTTCACCTCATGTGGGAAAACGCTCGGGGCCGCAAAGAAGCAGCGAACCAAGAGGAAGCGCCCGCCGCGCGGACCCTGGAGGAGGTGTGCATTCGTGCATGGTGTCTCACATCGACTTCACCGCTCGCGGTGGGACGCTGCACGCCTCTGGTGCGAGCCGTGAGGTCCGCTTTGCCCTTCGGCGCTGCCCGAGGCCGCCGCCAAAGAGGCCGGTCGCGGGCGCGTCGCCCCCGAGTGCGCCGCCGCCCTGGAAGCGCTCCGCGTCGGATGCGCCGCTGGCGGCTTGGGCGAGACGGCGTACGCAGCCGTCACCCTGGCTGTCCGCGCGACGGCGACAGGCGCAGCGCCCGTCATTATATATCGTCGTTCGATAAGGACCGGCCGTTACTTCGGTACGAAGGGTTCCACCAAGTGCACCGCTTGTATCCATGCTTGCTGCACTGCTCGCGAGGCCCTATTTTCGTAAAGTTCGTGGAGCAACAAAAATTCTTTTTCGCCTGTGTTAGTGCCAGTGCGCGCACGTGGGAAAATTCTTTTTCGCCGGCGCCGGTGTCACAGCACGCCAGCTGTCCAGAACGCCGTACACGCGTTCGACGACGCGCCTGCATGTCCGACACCGAGTATGACGAGAACGGCGCCGCCGAGGAGTTTGTGGAGCTCGACCTCGACAAGACCCTCACGTGGACGGGCAACGCTGTGATTGTCCAGCGCGGCACCGTGTTCCGGATGCCGCTGCTCGTGCCCTACCCGTCGGTGCTCGCGATCCAATTCGAGGTGGAGGGCGGGTACGACATTGAGTTCTCGCTCACCTTCAAGGATGACCACGAGCAGGACTCTTCCGTCCTTGTCGAGCCCGTCCGCGTGAGCGACCGCGAAGGCCAGCTCGACATCGACACCACGGGCGTGTGCGAAATCATCTGGTCCGCCGCCCGCCGCCGTCTCCCGCCGCCCGCCGCCTTCCCTCCCGCCCCAAATTCCGACTCGCGCTGCTCAACGAGCGGGCGAGGAGCGCGCCCCCCGAGCGCTCTTCCCGCGCCGAGCGCCCTCGTCGCCGTCTCGCAGGTCCAACGAGCACTCCTGGATCTCGAGCAAGACCCTCTCCTACCAGCTTCAGGCGCGCGGGCTGGAGGGGGCCGGTCCCCGAGAGGCGTGGTGGGGGGCGGGCGGGCGGGGAGGGTGTGGGGCACAGGCGGAGAGGGCACCCGGCGCTCCGGTTGACTCCCGCCCTCCTCGACGCGCAGCTCGCGCCCAAGCTGGACGTGCGGTGGCGCAAGAGGCAGCTCGCGGCGCTCACCGCCGCCACCGACTTCCGCATGCTCGCGGCGGTCGAGATGGCCGAGAAGGTGGAGGAGGACTTGCGCTCGCTCAAGACGCGCACGGCCGACCTGCAGCAGTCCGCGTCGGGCGCAAAGGAGCGGACGGCGTCGGCGCACGCAAAGCACGAGCGGTACCTCTCGCACGTGCGCAGGCTCGAGGAGGAGGTTGCGGCGGCGAAGCAGCACGCGGACGCCGCCGCGCAGGAGCTCAAGGCGGCGCACGCGGCGGAGGCGGCCGCGCACCGCTCGCTCGTCGCGCTGCAGCGGGTGAGGCAGATCGACGACGGCTTGACGCCCGTCCTGTCGCAGACGCTGGAGCACTGCGATGAGCAGCTGGCCGCGCTCTACGGCGCGTACGCCGGCAGCCTGTACGCGCCCGAGGAGGGCGAGGAGGCCGCGGCGGAGGAGAGCGGCGGCGTGCTGCTCGACCGCGCCGAGTTTTTGCACTTTTTGCAAGACTTCGAGCTGCTCGGCCGCGGGACGCCGCCGCAGCTGCTCTGCGGTGTCTTCTCGGGGTGCCCGCCGCCCGCCGCCTCCGCGGCGCCTCCGCACCCTCCCCACCCTCCCACCACCCCCCGCCTGGCGCGAGCAGGTGCCCGCAGCAGCTGACGCCGGCGCAGTTCCGCCGCTGCTTTGCGCGTGCCGCGCTCGCGCTCGCGCCCGAGATGCTCTCCGAGCTCGAGCACGCCGATGCGGCGCCGAGAGACCCGGACTCGCAGCCGCCGACGCCGACGGGGCCTCAAAAAGGCGCCGACGGCAACGCGGTGTCGCCGCCGCCGACGCCGAAGGGGGCCTCGAAAGGCGCCGACAGCGACGCGATGCAGCCGCTGGACAAACTGCTGTGGCTGCTGCGCATGCTCTCCGAGAAGGCGCGCTGGGTCAAGCTGCCCGTGCTCGAGGTGCGGAGGCGTGGCGCCGCCTTGCGCGCGATCGCGGAGCTCGAGGCGGCTCTCGACTCTCTGGGGCTCGAGTCCCAATCAGAGGGCTGCGCCTCTTGCCGCGGCAGCAGGCCGGTCAGCCGCGTGTTCAACGCCGCCGGCTCCGAGTCAGAGCGCGAGGCGCGCGGCTGAGGTGCGTGGAGCCGGCCGCAGGGGCCTCCGCGCGCCTGCCCCGCCCCCTCTCGCTTGGATGTGCGGCGGTGCAGCGCGCACGGGGTCAGGGAGGGCTGGCTATTTCCGAGAGGTGAGAGCCAGCAGGATGGAGGAGGGCCGCGCGTTGCTGCCCAAACGCGACGCTCCGGTATGGTCGAGCTCCGTCGTGTGTGGTGGAGCGAGGCGGCCTCCAGCTTTTCTACAGTTTGCTGTCTTTCGTATTTGGCTTGGTGCACTTGGTCTGTTTTAACTCCTTATATAGCTTTATTGCTGGGTTCGGGCTCCAGCAGGGGGTCTAGAACTCGAGAGTCTCTGTAGAGACTAGAGTGTGCCGCGGTGGGGGCGCGCTCCTGCCCGTGACGCCGTGTGAGCACACCTAGCACGACCAGGGCTGACGGCTGTGAAAAGCGGCGGGGGCACGCACGCGCAGCACACTCTCACTCAGGCGAGGACTTCAGCACACACTCCACGCCGTGGGGCTGCTAGCACGTTTACAACGGCGACTACATCAAGACAGCGAAAGCCTTCATCCGCGCCGCCGCCATCGGAGCCACCGCCTCCCACGCGCCCACTGACGGGTCGTACCGCTCGACTGAGCTGAGGCGATTGTCGCCGCCGTCGTCGCTGCCGCCCACAGCGTACAGTTTGCCGTCGAGCACCGTCACAGCGAGTCCGTCCCGCTCCTCCGCCATCGGCGCCACCTCCTCCCACGCACCCACCGCCGGGTCGTACCGCTCCACCGAGCTGAGGTCGCCGTTGATGTAGCCGCCCACAGCGTACAGATTGCCGTCCAGCACCGCCACGGCGTGATCCATCCGCACCACCGCCATCGGCGCCACCGCCTCCCACGCACCCACCGCAGGGTCGTACCGCTCCACCGAGCTGAGGACGGCGTCGTCGTTGCAGCAGCCTCCCACAGCGTACAGCTTGCCGTCGAGCACCGCCACGGCGTGATCATACCGCGCCGCCGCCATCGGCGCCACCGCCTCCCACGCATCCAGCGCCGGGTCGTACCGCTCGACTGAGCTGAGGTAGCCGTCGTCGTCGTTGTACCCGCCAACAGCATAAAGCTTGCCATCGAGCACCGCCACGGCGTGCAACTCGTGTGGTGTCACCATCGGCGCCACCGCCTCCCAAGACTTCGTCGCCAGGTCGTACCGCTCCACCAGGTTGGAAGTTGCGCTGTCAGCCTCACTCTGGCCGCCCGCCGCGTAAAGCTTGCCATCCAGCATCGCCGTGCGGACAAACCTTCGTGTCGAAGGCATCGGCGCCACAGCCTCCTCCTCCCACTCATTCGTTGACGGGTCGTACCGCTCCAGCGAGGTGACAGTCCCACCCTCGCTGCCGCGGCCGCCGAACACGAGCATGCGCGGCCTCTCGCGCTTCTTCAGCGTCTCCTTCCAGCCGCGGCGCCACGCGCGGCACGTCGCCTTGGCGGCGTGCTCCTTGGTCGGCAGCTGGGCGAGGATGTGCGGGGCGAGGTCCGGCGAGAGGAGGACCTCGGAGAGCATCCACTCGGGCTGCTCCACGAGCCGAGCGGCGTGCTCCTCCGCCACGCGTAGCGCGGCGTCGCTCGCGCGCGCCTGAGCCTCGATGATGGCGCAAAGCTGCGCTGGCGAGAGGCCCGCGACGCGCGCGCCGATTCGGTGGGAGGCCATGTGTGTGTAGTGTATCGCTATTCTTGCATTTTTGCTCCCGGCTTAGGGAGCAAGCAAGCCCACTCAACCCCAAGTACTCACCATTCTTACAGTGGTGTAGCTTGTGCAGAGGCTGCAGCCTCTGCTGGGGCGGAATGCGCGGGGTTTTCGGCGCGATGCCCTCGGCGAGTACACGCTACAGCTGTGCCGCACGCTCTCCTGCGCGCGCGTGACGTGTGGGACGCGTGCGCTGCGCTCAAACGTCGCGATTTGGCGATAGGCGCTCGAGCCGGCGCACAGCGAAAAGGTCCCCCCCCCAGGGGGGTTCGAAGGGGTCCAAAAGGGGGCTTGGTTTGGGCGCCCCCCGGCTGGCTCCGGGAGCGGCCGTCACGTAAAGAAGGGGGGCTTTGGGGGGCTCAAGCCCCGAGGGGTGCCGTTTTGTTGGGCCGCCGAAAGCCCTTTTTCCGAGCCGGGGGGGGGAGGGAACCCCCGCCCGGTTTCCCTGGTGGGGGGGGGGCGCAGGTTTTATCCCCCCCCCCCCCCCCCCCCGCCCGCCCGCCCGCCCGCCCGCCCTCAGGCCTTGCCCCTCCGCAGGCGCGGGAGCGCTCGCCGGCGAGCACCTCCTACCTCTCGTCGCCCGGCTGCTCCCTTCCCCCGTCCCCCCTCTCCTGACGCGCACCCCGCGCAGACGGCGCTCCGGGACAGACGGAGCAGCGACCGCGCGCGCGGTCGCTGCTCCGCCCCTCCGTCGCGCGCGCCGCGCGCGCGCGCTCTGCCGCCACTGCCGCCGCGCCCCCCTCGCCGTCTGTTTCCCGCCGTACTCGAGTATGGTGTGCGGTGCGCGCACGCGCAGCGCACACAGCAGCACCTCCCCACACCCCACCCACCCCGTCGCGCCGCCGCCGCCGCCCCCGCCGCCGCCGCCGCCCCCGCTGTAGGTGTAGCGTTTGGGGGGGCGACTGGCGACGGCAAAAATGCAAGCCCCGCCCCTGGCCACTGTGAGATTTTTCTTCCTAGAACAGTGTGTCTGTGTGTCGCTCGTGTGTGTCGTCATCATCTGTCCAGCGTCCACCCATACCGCGTTGGTGTCCAGTCCGAGCCTGGCTGTTCTTCACCTTTCTACCTACCTACCTAGTGGTGAGCCGGTGTGTGTCCGCGCCAGTCCGCGCCCTTGTCGTGCCAGTGTGCTGTGAGAGAGGCTTGTATACTGTCCCGTTTTGCTGTTCACAGCTAGGGACGGCCTCTGCGGCAAAGTCAAACCACCCCACCACCACAGGCAAACCTTCGGCTCCTCTTCAGAGGCTCGCCGCGCCCGTGCGGCGCGCCGAGGCGGCGCCGAGGCCGGCGCCTTGCACCCGGCCCGCGGCCGGCACCGCCTCGCCCCACAACTGACCGCCCTGCGGCCCCTGCGCAGGCGTACCACAGGCGTCGCTCAAAAAGCGACGCCGGGTGTGGGCTGCTCCCTTGACCCGTCACCCGCCGCGGCCCGTGCGGCGCGCCGAGGCGGCGCCGAGGCCGGCGCCTTGCACCCGGCCCGCGGCCGGCACCGCCTCGCCCCACAACTGACCGCCCTGCGGCCCCTGCGCAGGCGTACCACAGGCGTCGCTCAAAAAGCGACGCCGGGTGTGGGATGCTCCCTTGACCCGTCACCCGCCGCGCCCTCGCCCGGCCGCCTCACCGCGCTCGGCTGCTCGCCGCCGCCGCCGCGCGTCCCGCGCCGCCACGCATGCCCCTTGCCCTGACGCGCGCGCTCTGCAGCGGCAGAGCGCGCGTCTGTCACAGACGGAGCAGCGACCGCGCCAGCGGTCGCTGCTCCGCCCCCCCGTCACGCGCGCCGCGCGCGCGCCGCCGCCGCCGCCGCCGCCGCCGCCCCCTCCTCGCCGTCTTCCCCACCCTACCCTCTGTTGCGCGCGCGCGCCGCACGCTGTGCGCGCCCCCGCCCCCACCCCCGCCCCCGCCCCCGCCCCCGCTCCCACACGCCCCTTCCCCGGTAGGTGTGCGTAGAAAGTGGAACCAATCGAGAGGTGGCAGAAGCCGCCGTGTGTGACACATATTGCGGCACGTGAGTGAGACAAGAGCCCCGGCAGCGCGCGTGCAGCCGGCAACAGAGGCGTTTCAAACAGCAAACGGGACGGCCTGCGCAGCCTCTAACTATTTTAAGAATTCTTCCTAGCCGTGTTGTTTGTTTCCCTGATTCTCGAGTAGAAGAGACGCATACGTAGATGGTAGACACAAACCTCAAACGACAAAGTTAGCGCGGCGGCGGTAGGGGCGGCGGCCACCCTCCGTCCTCGGATGTTTGCGGGCTCCAGCAGACGCAGTCGTCGACGAATGGGAAGCCACGAAGGCCCCCGCACGGGGGGTCCCGGCCGACGTCATGCGCGTCTGGAACGCGGCCCTCCGTACACGGAAACAGGGTACCGGAGGCATTCCCGAACTCAAAACAGGGTACCAAGGGCAGATATGAGCTCAGCTCAGTGAGATCTAACAGCACATACCCTTGGTACCCAGAATAGTCCAGTCTGAAAAAAGTCGGTCCGACCTCGCGGAGCCGTCTGACTGTCTGCAGAGCCCCCGCGGCGCGCGGGCACGCCTGGTCTTAGGGTACCCCTAGGCTTAAAAGGGTGGGCCCTGGGGCGCCTGCGGCTTAAACGGCTTAAAACCGGCCTAGGCCGGTTTTAAGAGCTGCTGGGCCGCCAATTCCTTAAACGGTCTTAAACGCTTAAACGGTGCGGGAGAGCTACCGAGGTCGATGGTCCGGGAGGCTCCCGGTAGACGCCGGAGGCCGGGAAGCTGGCTACAGTCAGCTGGCACGCGTCCCCTATGCGAGTATGGCTCCTGCCAGTGCACCAGACCTACAGATGTGTCTTCAAGCCTTCAGCTGGTGCCAAGACATCGTAAAATTGAAGCCAAGAATCCGCCAAATCCGTGCTTTCGCGCTACCTGAGGGGAAAGCCGCTGATCGAGCCCAGCGTGCCCGCGGCCGCCTCCCGCGCAGCACCGCCGCTGCGGAATCGGATCGATCCCATGGAGGAGGAGGGCGCAGTCGGCCAGCGCAGCAGGCGGAGTCCCTCCCCGCGCCGGAGCCCCCCTGCAGTCGAGGGAGTCCTCGTTGGCGATGAAGGTGGCGACATCGAATCGCGGCCGACACACGTCACGTGGGAGGAATGGGCGATGAGCGGGAACGATGCGCGCTACGACGCCGACTCCGCCGTGCTCGTGGCCGCAGAAAGCCGCGCTCCAGGAGCACGCCAAGATGCAATGGCTCGCTTGCTTCGATTCAGCTCTCTCGGCAGCAGAAGTGGGGCTGGAGCGGGTGGGGGTGGATGCCGATTGAGGGGGAGCGTCTCCAGCTGCGCCCTGTGGCAGCTGCGCCCTGTGGCAGCTAGTCGAGGGACTTGGTAGTTGTGACCCCCCTGAGTGAGGACAGGAGAGAGAGAGCGTTTTGTGGTGTTGGTGTACGCAATAACGGGACAGGGTGGTTGTTCTCTCTATCTCCTCTTCTAGCTCTTAGCATGAGCTGCGCCCGGTGTCCGACCCCTTTTGCGCAGCAACACCTTAAACTTTTAGGCCCTCCAAATTCGGGTCGGAGCGTAGCGGAGTGGGCCCCGAGTTTGAAAAGGGCGACGGACGCTTGCGTCCTAGCCTCCAACAACGCCTCCCCGGCGCAGAGGGGCCCCCGGAGGGATGCACAACCGCTCCACGCCACGCCGCTTGCGGCGGTCCTCTTAATAAATAAATAAATAGAGCAGTCATCTCCAGGGAGAGATGGGCGACGCACACGAACACAGAGGGACAGTGCGCACCCCGCCCCGCTCGCAGGGCGTGCATCACACAGGTGGACTGTATGACTCCTCGGGTTTCTGGGACTCAGAGGTGTGCTAGTCGCTATTCTCCGACAATTCCGACATATCTGACGGGCAGTTCGGGCTCGAGCGGTCGCGGTCGCGGCCAGCGCGTGAGGCCTGGCTAGGGTTGCCGGGCGAGAGCTCGACCCACGCGCCGGAGCGCGCGTGGTGCTTGAGCAGCCGGGCGGTCGCCGCAGCCACCTCGAAGGGTAGCTCGTCGAGCCACTCGCCGAATGTGCCCTCGTCCTGCGCCGCAGCGAGGAATTGCTCACCTAAGCCGTACGCGCGGCAGGCCCGGTAGAGCGCCTCGTTCTGGATCTCCTCCGGCGCCTCGGAGTCGTAGCCGCAAACGGAGGAGCCGGCAGAAGAGGCCCGCTTCGCAGGCGGCGCGTCAGGCGATGAGGAGCGCGAACGCCGCGGCGGCACACCGTCGCCGCGCGCGGAGAGCGCGTTCCTGTCGACGCGGGGCGCAGCCTTGCGCCGGCCGCGCTTGGCCGGCCGGATTGTGAGGCTGCCGGCAGGCGGCTGTGCAGCCGCGGCTGCGTACGACTGAGCCGCAGGCGCGGCGGCTGGCACGGCGGCGGGCGCGGCGGCTGGCGCGGCGGCGGGCGCCGCGGCGGCTGGCGGCGGCGGGCGCGGCGGCGGGCGCGGCGGGCGCGGCGGCGGGCGCGGCGGCGGGCGCGGCGGCGGGCGCGGCGGCGGGCGCGGCGGCGCGGCGCGGCGGCGGGCGCGGCGGCTGGCGCGGCGGCGGGCGCGGCGGCCGGCGCGGCGGCGGGCGCGGCGGGCGCGGCGGCGGGCGCGGCGGCGGGCGCGGCGGCGGGCGCGGCGGCGGGCGCGGCGGCGGGCGCGGCGGCGGCGCACGTGCCCGCTCGCTCGCGCTCCGCGCGCTCCAGCTCCCGTGTGTACTCGGACTTCAAGTTGATCTGCCCGTCGAGGCTGCCGTCGATGTGCATGGTGAACCGGACGGTGGCCGCGTCGATGTGCTGGGCGTGTCCCATCAGCGAGCTGATGAAGGACGCCTCGCGCATCGTCAGCGGCTCGCCGCCCTTCATGCACCGCTCAGCATCGCGGAGGCGGCTAGCACTGTCGCGCTTGAATGCCGGCATTCAAGCGATCTCTGTTCGAGGAGGGCCTCTTCCCAGCTCCGCTGAGGGTTTGTGCGTTATTTTTCTT